GAAGATGACGTCGTTTTCGGGTTTAACATTAATTTTTTAGATAAAATTCTTTTGAATTTTTTCAATAAAAAATTATTGTGGGAATTTAATTTAATTCTAAATTCAAATTTTGAGTTCCTAAGTGGTTTCCTAAAATTTGTACCTCTTACTTTATTTATTAAACTATTCAATTTGTTTAATATATATATATATATATGTTCTTTAGTTTAATATATATATACATATTTATATATTTAAAATAGTTATTACATAAAGTGCCAAACAGTTGGTGTGTTGGACCAACGGAACATCTTTTCAAATATTTGAAATTGTAGTGTTGTTGGGTAACGGTCTGAATCTGTCCAAAGTGTTGCACCTGTTCACTTCGGAAAGCACCTATTCGGGCTGTGTCTTTGTGTCTATAAATACTTTCTATTCCAGCAGTCTTAAAAAAGATATTTTTCTGAACCGAAAAAATCTGTTTGATTTTTGTCTCTTTGCAGTCCATATTTTCCTTTTGCATTATTTCTTCATTCTAGTTTTAGAATAAATTTTCAGAGAGTTAGAACATAGGTTTGGTTCGCCGAACAAATTTATTTGAAGTGCTTCTATAAATTTGTGAAGATCATTGTATCCTGGGAGATAGACGCCATTCAACCGTAAGCACCGTAGCGGGGCGAATCTGTCTTAAGGACAGAGTGTCACACACTCGACTTGGTCTTAATTTTATTTGGGTTCGATAAATAAATCTGGTATGTTATTTATTTATTTTGTTTGAATTTATTTTCAAGTTATTTTATTTTACACAGAAAATTGTTTCAACAATATATTATATGCTTGATAATTATTTAAGAATATTTTCAATTAACTAGCAAATGAAAACTGTCCTAAACTACTCAAATTGTGAATTAATTATTTGTCAATCCCCCATTTGCCACACGGTTTCTTTTTTAGCCTCAAACCGCACCACGCATGTAATAGTAGTATTGAAAGCTCAGTCATACTAATCTAATGAAAATTTTCAATTATTGTTCAATTGATTATGCAAATTTAATTATACAGTTGGTTCATGTTGACAAAAAGTAGGAGCAGAGTCAATAATACAATTGCCTACTCAAGATTGTTTTTGAGCTCTTCTGGTCTTGGCCTCAAACAGTTGCCATTTCTCTTTTTAGGAAGTAAAAATAATTTGAAAATATTTTTTTAATGTTTATTTTCATCAGAATAGTTTCAATTTAAAAAAAAATAAAATAAAATAAAAAAATTCCAAACCTTAACCAAATAAGATATGTATAAGAACTTGACCAATAAGGTTCATAGGCCGTGTATGACTCATCATATCGAAATTTGAGCTTTCATTATGCGATCATCAAGATCTCTAAACTATTGAACCCATACATTTTACCCCCTCAATTATAAAAATTTAAATAAAAAAAAATCAAGATAATGCAAAGAATACAGAAGCAACAAAAGAGCAAGACCAAAAAAACCTAACCAACTACAAGATCCAAAAAATCAAAGAAAGAAAACAAATCTGGATCGCCTTTACACTCCAACCAACTATACAAGGTTACTAATAATCGATTCTGCAACCATAACACCGACTGCTCAATGTCTTGGAAAGTTCGCCTATTTCGCTCCAGCTACACCAGCCACATCAAACAGAAAGGCACCAACAACTACACTCGTCACCAACGCCGCCGAACACGAGCCCCCCACTAACTCCACAACATGTCCACAACTCCCTTTGGTTGCACCCACATAATCCCAAAAAGGGAACATGCCAGCCTCCAAAGTCGGAAAACAACAGAACAATGAAGAAATAAATGATCAACAGACTCTACTTCCACACAACACATACAACGACGATTGACTGACATATGCCCTCGGCGAACCAGATTATCAATTGTAAGATTTCGACCTAAGGTAGCCGTCCATAAAAAGAAAACCACCTTAGAAGGAACACAAGGCACCTATATACTCTGCCAAGGAAACACACAACCCACCTCCCCCACCAAACTACGATAAAAGGAGCGAACAAAAAACTGACCTTTGGCACCCGCCACATTCCAAACCAACACTTCTTCCCCCCTTCCCAAGAAGCCCAAACCATATAGAAAGCCAAATAACTCCCCCAACTGACCCTTTTCCCAATCCTGAACTTCACGCCAAAGCTGAATATCCTTAACCACCACCTCCCCACCCCCCAAATAAGAAGCAACCGTAGCCTCCCGGTCCCTTACAATACTAAAAATCAAACGGAATCGCACCTCCAAAACCACCTCCCCACACCATCTATCCTTCTAGAATCTAACCTTCTCCCTAGTCCCCACTCAAAAATTAGCCCTCTTCCAAAACTCCCCCCTCCCTAACCAAATTACTTTCCACAAACCTCGCCCATGAGACCTCAACACATCCCCCGACCACCAATTCCCTTCAACAATCCCAAACTTAGAGGCCATAATCCTACGCCAAAAGTGATCCCGCTCACCAGCAAACTGCCATAACCATTTTCCTAACAAAGCCCTATTAAACTACACCAAACTCCGCACCCCCAAACCACCCACCTCCTTAGGGCAACAAATATGCCCCTAATCAACCAAGTGATATCTGAAATCCTCACCTCCATTGCCCCACAGAAAATCCCGCTGAAGTTTCTCTAAGCGAGCAGCCACAGAGACGGGAATAACATGCAATGACATAAAGTAAGTCGGAAGACTGCTCAACACACTCTTAATCAAAGTCAACTGTCCTCCTTTCGATAAATATTGTTGCTTCCAACCTGCCAAACGACGTTGAACTCGCTCTACCACCCCATCCCACACCCCTTTTGCCTTGCAAGTAGCACCCAAAGGCAAACCCAAGTAAGTCACTGGTAAATTGGCTACCTTGCATCCTAGAACCACCGCTAATACTGGCAGCCTCTCCCACTGGAATCAACTCAAACTTACTTAAATTAATCTGCAAGCCCGAAACTGTCTCAAAATAAATTAGAATACATCGAAGGTAGCCCAACTGCACCAGATCCGCATCGCAGAAAACCAAAGCATCATCTGCATACAGTAAGTAAGACACCCCCATTGCTGTCCCTGATGACAAGCCCACCCGAAAACCTTGCAACAGACCTTCATGAACAGTCCTAGACAGCAATCTACTAAAGGTCTCCATAACAAGGATAAACAAAAGAAGAGATAAAGGATCCCCCTATTGAGGACCCCGATAAGTCGAAAAGAAACTGGCCGGAGAACCATTCACCAACACAGACATCTGCACTGTGAAAACACAGAACTTCATCCACTGACACCATCTATCACCAAAACCCATCCAACCCATCATATAAAGCAGAAAATCCCAATTCACATTATCATAGGCCTTCTCGATATCCAGCTTACAAATCAAACCAGGTCGCCCATCCCGGACTCAAGAATCAACACATTCATTAGCCACCAAAGCCGCATCCAAAATCTACCTCCCTCCGATAAAAATATTTTGGGATTCAGACACCACATCTGACAACACATTTTGAAGGCGATTCGCCAACACTTTTGCCAACAGTTTATACACACTGCCAAGCAAACTAATAGGCCTGAAGTCCCTCACATCCACAGCCCCCCTTTTCGTCGGAATTAAAGCTAAGAAGGTCGCATTAAAGCTCCTCTCAAACTGCCCGGTCATGAAAAAGGCCTCAAACATGCCATCACATCCTTCTTAACCACACTCCAACAATGTTGGAAGAATGCCATAACGAAACCATCTGGACCCGGAACCTTATCACCACTCATTACCTTCAAAGCCCCAAACACCTCCTCCTCTGTAAAGGCCCACTCTAATCCCTCCCTACCCCCTGCAGAGATAACATCAAACAGGACCCCATCCAACCCCGACCTCAATTTCCCATCTTGAGCCCGAAAGAGTCGCTGATAAAAACCTACAATGCCTCCCCGAATATCCTCATCAGTAATCAAATCTCGCCTGTCCATCCGCATTCGCACAATCTGGTTAGCCTTTCGATGGCTATTAGCCATTCGATGAAAAAACTTGGTATTCTGATCCCCCTCTTTCAACCATAAACATCGAGCTTTTTGACGAAAACATGTTTCTTCCATACGAGCCAAACGAACATAATCATGCCTGGCCACGTCCCTTCTAACTGCATCCGCGTCTAAAAGGCTGCCAGAAACCTCCTGTGCATCTAAGCACTGAAGGATGGCCACTACTTCTGCTTTCTGAACCTCCACCTGGCCAAAAACCTCTTTATTCCACTTTTTCAAATCCCTTTTAAGTAATTTCAATTTCTGAGCCAACATACAACTAGGAGTACCATTAACCATGTAAGTACTCCACCATCCACCAACCCTCTCTAAAAAATCTTCCAATTACAACCACATGTTTTTGAATCGAAAAGGCGTTGGCCCACTAGAAAACCCCCCACTACTAAGCATAATCGACCAATGATCTGACACTGGATGAGGTAAATGACGTTGCACCACCTCCGTAAAATGCTCCTCCCACCTACTAATAACCAGAAATCTATCAATCCGAGAGATCTGGTGGCCATTAGACCAAGTAAAACTCCCCCCATGAAAAGGCAAATCAACCAGGTTCAACGCATCAATAAAAGCACAAAACCCCCGCATCGACCCCTGCACCCTACTACACCCTATCTTCTCCACTAGCCAGCGAACCAAATTAAAATCATCCCCCACACACCACGACTCTGACCAGCAATGCGTAACATCCACCAACTCACCCAAAAAAACACTTCTCTCAGAATTGCGGACCGGGCCATACACCCCTGAAAACACCCACCGAAAATTGTCCTCCACATAACGAAATGGACAAGACACTGAAAAACCTCCTACCTCCTCATCCTCCTTCACCACCACTCTTTTATCCCAACAGAGTAAAACCCCCCCAGCCGTACCCATAGCCGGTAAATATACCCAAGCCACAAACCTACCACCCCAAACCTCTCTCACCATATCTCCACCCAAGACCTCCATTTTCGTCTCCTACAAACACACGACATCCGCCCTCGCACTTCGAAGTACTGAGTGGACGGCAAGGCGTTTATCCTTGTCATCCAAGCCACGCACATTCCACAATACCACTTTTAACTTCATTTTAACAACAGAGGACCTCCTCACTCTCTTTTTTGACCTTGCCCAGCCATCTCCCCTCCATGCTCATAATTAACAGAGCACTCCAAATTTTTGAGCTCCCGCTCCCCTTTATGGTGTGCTACAGCCACTGTACCAACCTCCTTAATTGGAGCCCCTTGCCTCCATGAGGTTTCCACTACTCTGAACAAGTATATGGCCTTCAAAAGAAACACCAAGTAATCTACTCACCTCGCTAATCCTACGAAGCACCCACTTCGAAACTACATCATCGGACGAATCCTCCAACCCAATCAACTCCTCCTTATGTTTGGCCTCACCCAGAGACAAATTAGGAGAGTCTTTTCCACGATCAGACTTTATCAAATGGGCAAGAGAATGGACCACGAGAGACAATTCCCTCCCAATAGGCCCAGGTATTGATTCGATCCTGTCCACCCAAGCACTCACATCATACCTTACATCGTTTTGTACGCAATTCTGCCCCAGGTCCTCGTCTGCATCAAATGAGTGGCCCAAAGCCTTATTGTCCTCCGACACATGCTGCAACCCACCTAACTCCACCTCTCGATCGTGGGTCGACGTCAACGGTGCATCCCACTGCGCAACCTCTGTAGAATCTAAGGTCAAGCCTCGACCCAACTGGGTTATATCCAGATCCCGACGCAAATTGTAAAACACTTGGGCCACTGGGGTTGCTAACCCAGTTCGGCCTTCAACCCCCTTCACAGTACAGCCTAACTCCTTCAAGCTCATTCCCTAAGCCCCATCAACACTTGGGCCCACTCTAACTTTTCGCTGCATCAACTGAAACCCCCCCTCCTTGGGCCCTTTAGAAACAAGCCCAACATCTTTATTTTTAGCTCCCCTATCACGGCCTAAAGAAGGACCAGCCCACAAATGGGCCTTAGAATGATGAGCCCAGGGCCCCTGCCCTTTCGGTTGCCAAGCCTTACGTGATCCAACCCATCTCCCTGAAAACAGCAACTTCTTTCCCAAATCACAGCGACCAAATAAAGTAAAGCAGTGTAAAAAGATAATCATAAATTTCTCACAATATCCATAATCGTATCAATAGAACAGCCTTAGGCCCATTATATAAATAGAACCGCCTTAGGCCCATCATATCAGAACGGCCTCAGGCCTACAAAGTTTAGAAGGGCCTCGGGCCCACATATAAGCAGAACAGCCTCGGGCCCACATATTAACAGAATGGCCTCAGGGCCCAATCATACTAACAGAATGGATGGCCTCGGCCCCAATCATATTGACAGAATGGCCTCGAGCCCAATCATATTATAGAATAAACAGAACAATCTTAGGTCCACGCTACACATGTCATATAACTTTTACAAATTCCATTCCTTTCCATCAAAGCACAATGTTGGTATAATCCAAGTACACAATTAAGAATATATGTGTACAATATTATTACTCACAATGCGTTAGGTTCCACGGTCTTTCCTCCAACACAAGACCTACACAAATATTTCACACACACATTCAATGAATAATCCGTTCAATTCAAACACTTTCTTTCATTAATTCATTTTACTTTTCGTTCATTATCCATTCATCTATAGGCATTGTAGAGGGACAAAACATGCTCAGAAACGAATTTAGAAGGTCGGGGAAGCTAACAGAATAAGGCAGATTTTTCCCCTGATTTTCGCACGTGCGGAAGCCCCTCACCGCACGTGCAGAAAGCGTGCCGCACATGCGGGCCATTTCAGTAGCGAAGTGCATCCCTGCCCTATTTTCTGTACGTGCGGTTGTGAGCCGTGCACGTACAGCCATGAACCCCGTATGTGCAGCTGTGAGCCCCGCGCGTGCAGTCCTGGCTGTTTTGGGCAATCTGAAGCTGAAGAAAAACTTAAGCCTCTAGGTTGATTTTCAAGCCCCAAATCATGCAAAAATAACTCAAAAACATGATACACTAGCATGATACAAGGGTAATTGCATCTCAAACACATCAATCTTGATCCTATACCAACTTCATAAATTTCATGATCAAGCTCAAACACATAAAAACACAGGTGATCCTTCAACAAATCTTTGTTGTATGCACAATCTAGAGCTCATTTCATGCATTAATCTCAAGATTGGATTCAAATCGAACAAACATGAAGAGATTTCTTGCATTTAGTCCAATCCATTACATAACTCAAACCCTAGCCCAAAATCCCAATTTCTTCTTGATTTCATGACAAAGATGAGTTAGAGACAAAGATTAGAAGTAGATTATCATACCTTAACCCAAGTCTAAGGTTTGCCCTTTGATTCTCTTCCAAAACTCTAGCTCTTCTTCTTCCTCTCTCTCTCTCTCTCTCTCTCTCTAACTCACTATAGCAAGCTCTCCAAAAAATGAAGAACACAAGAGGCCAAACACAAATATGGCTTATCTCATAAATTTTAATTTAATCCTTACGAATTGTAATGTTTTAAAATTTCACCAAAAGCTCTATAAATCATGTTAATCACAAATATGAAGTCAGTTTTTGTTTATCACATCTCTAAGGCTTTCAATTTCAGTTCAAAGTTGTCATTGGAACAGATATTCCTACGTTCAACAAATATTATTCCAAATTCACATAATTCACATACTCAAACTTACAAATTCATATCAAACACATAATCACATGCACAATTAAGTAGAGTACGGGTTGGGTTATCATAGCAAGGAATATTAAGTTTCTATCGTGTCCGGAATCTATGATAGAATAAGACATTATACAGATCAAAAACTTTTTCATGGAATTCTAATAATTTAATTCGCAGAGAATTCTAAGCATATATCATACCCGGAGTTAACGGTAAATCAAAAAACTTTATAAAATAATTATTATTTTTAAATAAATTAATTAATTAATCAATCAATCAAAATAATCTGACATTAAAAATCATAATTAAACTATAAAATATTTATTAAAAAAAACCATTGAAGTTTTACACCAACTTTAATAAAGAAAATTCAAACGCCATAGAAATAATTAAAACAATATGTAAAGTTTTCTCAGAATGTTCCCTTCGTTCAGCTCTTCTCTTATCTTTAATGGTTCAAGGTGGTAATTCTTCTCCAGGTTGAGATCATTCTGCCAATGAACTTCTTGCCTTGCATCATTCATCCAATTAGATTAAGGAAATTCTAATATACACTTCTTTCTTTTTTGTTTTTTTAAAAGTGTACTATATATACCTTTAATTATGTTATTTTTTTCTTTAATTATGATTAATTTTTTTTCTTTAATTATGATATTATTTTAGTTATGATTTATGAGTTTTTTTTAATTATATCTCATGTTGTATTTAGTTATAATAATTTTTTATTTATGACTTAAAAAATTAAAATTATGTATATTTTTTTAATTATAAAATATATATGGTAAACACATGCGCACCAAAATATTTCCATCATGCCATCATTCATCCAATAACCTTTGAAACCATATCATCCAACAAATAGAATCCAATTACTTAACCTTCGAAACCATATCATCCAACAAGTAGAATCCAATTGCTTTTGCTTCACCCGTGAATCACTTCTTTTCAATTGGCCATGACACGTTGGTTGCTGCTGAGAATAGAGTTTGGGTTCAATTTGACTTATTTTTCTTCATTTTTTTCCCTTTAATTATCAATTAGCCTCAATCTTCATCTTAATTGCAAATTATTTTGTAAAAAGTAAAATTAAATGATTTAACTCACAATTAAAAATAAAATGAGAGAATTTAAACATATTTTTAAGGGTGAATTACACTAATAGTCTCTATAGTTTGAAGTTTGTGTCACTTTGATCTCTAACTTTTTAATTGTGACATATTTGATCTTGAACTTTCAATCTTGTTTCAAATTAGAACAATTGAAAATATCATTGCTTACTTTCAATGGCAAAATCATCAATTTGATAAAATATAAACTAATTTGACAAAAATAAATATCAAAAAAATATTTTTGAATTTTTAAAAATTAATTCTACCCAGTAAAGATAAAATTATGTAAAATTGATAAATCTTTTAGACATTTTTTTTTACCAAATTAATTTTTATTATGTGTTTGGATGATTATCATGTAATGGGTAGTTGTTTTTATTTTCATTAAATTAGTTTCTATTTTTTCAAAAGCCAAATATGGTTAAAACTTTGATATCATTATTAAAACAATCTATTAAATCAAAAAATCTAAAAATAAAAATATTTCATATATTAAATATA